AATGTTTCAGCTGATCACCTTGATTTGCATTCAATGGCTTGGAAGCACCTGGGGGGAATCTTTTGTTGAGAGGTGATTCGATGTCCCTGTTTGTTTCCTTTCTCCTGTTGTGCTGTTGTAATTTTAGAGTTTTTTAATACTGGTAGCCAGATTTTGTTCATTTTCATGGTTTCCTCCTTTCTGTTGTTTGCTCCAGGCACTCTCAGGCCATTATATGCTAATCAAGGTGGTCAGTTGAAATATTCACACCTAGCTCCAGCAGACAAGAGTCCTTTGTCCCACCCTGGTCATTCCACAGATATATAAACCCTTTTTCCTAGTTCCAACAGACCTCACTACCTCTGAGGATGCTTGCCACAGATGCAGGCGAAACGTCAGGAGAAAATGCCTCTAGAACATGGCCCTATAGCCCGAAAAAACCCAACAATACAATAATAATAATAATAATAATAATAATAATAATAATAATAATAATAATAATAATAAAATACAACAGCTAGCAGAGTGATCTTGTCTGCTGTGGACTGTTTCAAATAATAAGGATTGAAGGGAAACAACTGGAAAAGCTGGCACAATACGAAGATTTAAAGATCGAACTGCAAAGACTGGCACAAGCCAGTCAAGGTGGTCCCAGTGGTGATTGGCACACTGGGTGCAGTGCCTCAAGACCTTGGCTTGCACTTAAACACAATTGGTGCTGACAAGATTACCATCTGCCAGCTGCAAAAGACTATGGGTAACTGCACGCATTATTCGGCAATACATCACACAGTCGTAGGCACTTGGGAAGGGTCCGACGTGTGATCCAATTCAACAGCCAGCAGAGTGATCTTGTTTGCTGTGGGCTCATGTTGTTGTCTTTATGAGTAAAACAAGCAGTCGAAGACGAAAAAACAGGATGCCCTGGCAGAATATGTCAAGGAAAGCCAAGAACCTGCTTTAATTGAAGTCAATAATTGGAAACGTCTCAAAGCACAGCAGACAAAGAACCAGTACAAGAAAACTCCACTCCAAACCAGAGCTGACAGCTGGCACAACAAAGCATGGCATGGTCAGTTCCTTGACAAAATTAAGGCCAGGATTGAAAAATCAGCAGAAGGCCCAAAATGCAGACTGTGCAAAGAAGCGGATGAAACCATGGACCATCTCCTCAGTTGTTGCAAGAAAATCGCACGGACGGACTACAAACAGAGGCACAACTCTGTGGCCCAGATGATTCACTGGAATTTATGTCACAAGGACCACCTGCCAGGAGTCAAGAATGGGTAAAGGGATCATCAACCTGCAAAGGGAGTGGAAAATGAGCATGCAAAAATACTGTGGGACTTTCGATTCCAGACTGTGGAATGATGTCCAGGGTGGGAGAAAGAACTCTTGTCTGTTGGAGGCAAGTGTGAATGCTGCAATTAATAACCTTGATTAGCATTGAATGGCCTTGCAGCTTGAAAGCTTGGCTGTTTCCTGCCTAGGGGACTCCTTGGTTGGGGGGGGGGTGTTAGCTGGCCCTGATTGTTCCATGTCAGGAATTCCCCTGTTTTCTGAGCATTGGTCTTTGTTTACTAGCCATAGATGTGGGCGAAACATCAGGAGAGAACGTTTCTGGAACATGGCCATACTCACAGTAATCGATGATGATGATAATGATGATGATGATGGTCATGTCCAAAGCAAAGGTCTTCAGGAGTTGGCCCATGCCTGGCACAGAGGCATCCAAGAGGCCAGTGTCGGGGGAAACGTGTGCCCTTGTTTTGGGCCAAAGTCCATCTTTTGTGGTCAAGGGATGGGTGCCAAGCCTTGCGACGGAGCCCAATCACAACCCCTGGACACCCGAGGCGGAGCTGCTTGCCTTCTCTCCCAGGCCAGGAGGCTATAAGGGCCTCCGTCCAGTGGGATGCCCGCCTGACCCTTGGATGCCATGGAGCTGGGGGTGGCCCTGCTGACCCCCTTGCTGGGCCTGTGCCTCTCCTGCTTGACCGCCTTCACCCTCTGGAAGTGCTTGTGGCCACAAAAGGGCCGGCTGCCCCCCGGGCCCACCCCGCTGCCCTTCCTCGGAAACCTGCTCCAAGTCAAGACCAACAACATCTTCCAGTCCTTCCTGGCGGTCAGTTTTGGGGGGACGATCGTGGTCTGAAGGAGGGAGGGGCAGTTGCATGGGGAGAGGTCCTAGAAGGGTCAAGCTTTTCAACCTCCCAAAAAGGGACACCCCTTTAGGACAAGGGGCCATCTTATCAGGAGGGCAATTTGATAAGGAAAGAACACTTGCCAGTTTGATAAGAGACAAGCGTCCCCATATACGAGGGTTGAATGAAAAGTAATGCCTCCGCCTTCATAACTCCTCAACAGATGGCAGTCCTGGTATGTGGCAGGTACTGGCTTGTTCAGTAGACTCTCCTCTACAGTTCCATTTTGGCAGGAAGCCTTAGCATTGAGCGGTTGTGTTGTTAAAGTGCAAAGTAATGCCTCCACCTTTGTAACTCCTCAACAGATGGCAGTACTGGTATGCGGCAGGTACTGTCTTGTTCAGTAGATTCTCCTCTACAGTTCCATTTTGACAGGAACCTTAGCATTGAGTGGTTGTGTTGTTAAAGTGCAAAGGATGGAACCCTGCACAGACAGTCGGTCAATGCGACTTAAGCCACATGCAGTCATTGAATTCTTGACAGAAGAAGGTGTCACCCAAAGGAGATTCATCAGAGAAGGCAAGCTGTTGATGGTGATTGTGTTGATGTGAGTACTGTGCATCTCTGATGAATCTCCTTTGGGGTGACACCTTCTGCTTTCAAGAATACAATGACTGCATTTTGCTTATGTCACATTGACCGACCGTCTGCGCAGGGTTCCATAATTTGCACTTTAGCAACACAACTGTTCAATGATAATTGTTTTTTAACTTGTTTTAAATTGTTTTTAAATTGTGTTTAGCCTGTTCTTGTAAGCTGCTCTGAGCCCCAGGGGAGTGGCGACATATAAGCTTGAATAATTAATTAATTAATTAATTAATTAATTAATAAGGCATCCTGCCAAAATAGAACTGTAGAGTGAACAAGTGAGTACCTGCCACATACCAGTACTGCCATCTGTTGAGGAGTTACAAAGGTGGAGGCATTACTTTTCATTCAACCCTCATAGGAGACATCTCTTATACATAAGGGAAACTGGTCATTGTATTCAGTAGAGTTTTTGCAGCTCTTACTTAAGAATGCTCTGTATTGTTTTCTTATGCTTGGCCCAAATTGCTTTGCTGTTACATTAGGTGTTGTTGTTGTTGTTGTTGTTGTTGTGTAGCCGTTGAGTGTTTCAAGCCAGCCAACTTCATAGTTGAGCAGGGACTTAAATCCAGTTGTCTCATTCCACAAACAACAATGGTCTTGCACCAGTGGCGTCCATACATTTGTAGTAATAAATGGTCTCTCAAGTCAAGGCCGGTCCTTCCTGGCGGTCAGTTTTGGGGGGACAGTGGTGGTCTCAAGGAGGGGGTGGTTGCATGGGGAGAGGTCTTATAAGGGACAACCTTTTCAGCATCCCAAAACAGAGCACCCCTTATCACAAAGGGCACCTGTCAAACATGCAAATCTATTGGGCAGAAGTATTGAAGCGATGATCCTCCGCCATCAGCTCCGCTGGACCAGCCACGTTGTCCGAATGCTCGACCAGTCTCCCAAAGCAGCTACTCTACTCCGAACTCAAGAATGGGAAACGGAATGTTGGAGGACAGGAAAAGAGATTGAAAGGTGGGCTCAAAGCCAACCTCTAAAACTGTGGCATAGACACCGAGAAATGGGAAGCCCTGGCCCTTGAGCATTCCAGCTGGAGGTCAGCTGTGACCAGCAGTGCTGCAGAATTTGAAGAGGCACGAATGGAGGGCAGAAGGGAGAAACGTGCCAAGAGGAAGGTGCATCAAGCCAACCCCGGACTGCCTTCCGTGTGGAAACCAATGCCCTTACTGGGGGAGAAGATGCAGATCAAGAATAGGGCTCCACAGTCACCTACGGACCCACCACCAGGACACCCATCTTGGAAGCCTATCCTACTCTGACAATGAGGGATCGCCTAAGTAAGTAAGATCTCTTAACTCAAGGCCTTCCAGTCATTCCTGCAGGTCAGTTTTGGGGGGGGGGGGGGGATAGTAGTCATCTCAAGGAGGGAGAGGTCCTATAAGGGACACCCCATATCATAAGGGACGTTGGTCAAATGTGGAGGGCAATCTGAGAAGGAACGCTTGCCATTTTGGTAAGAGACAAGTGTTCCCATATAGGAGACATCTCTTATACATTAGGGAAACTAATCATTCAGGTTTTGCTTAAGAATGCTGTGCCGTCACACCCTGACACTGTAAATATAAAACTAAGAGGTGCTTCTCTCTATATCTGGGTGAACTGCGGATGTCTTTCTTTAGAAGCTTGAGATTCCCAGCAACTGAGGCTACTACAGGTTTTGAACATCAAAACAGAATATTTATTTCTCAAAGTTCTTGTAGACTTGACACAGCTTGTCAAAGTTACAAACAAAACAGTCAATTGGTGAAACCTTAGAGATGTTCTTTCTTGCTTTTCCCCCTCTAGTTGCTGAATTGCCTTCCTCCAAATGGTAGGAAAAATCCTGAGATCTTTTTACCCCAACCCTGAGCTACTATCTTTTAGAAAGCGTAGGCCTTCCCCTATTCCAGCCCAAGGTTAGTTTTGGAGATGAAGCAAAGAGTGTCCAATAGCTATCTCAATACCCCCCAATAACTATCTCAATAGCCCTTTATACTAAATAGCTCAGTGTTTCTCAACCTGGGGGTCAGGACCCCTGGAGGGGTCGCGAGGGGGTGTCAGAGGGGTCATTGAAGGCCACCAGAAAAGACAGTATTTTCTGTTGGTCATGGAGGTTCTGTGTGGGAAGTTTGGCCCAATTCAATCGTTGGTAGGGTTCAGAATGCTATTTGATTGTAGGTGAACTATAAATCCCAGCAACTACAACTCCCAAATGTCAAGGTCTATTTTTCCCAAACTCCACTAGTGTTTACATTTGGGCATATTGAGTATCCGTGCCAAGTTTGGTCCCTCTCCATCATTTGAATCCACGGTGCTTTCTGGATGTAGGTGAACTACAACTCCAAAACTCAAGGTCAATGCCCACAAAATCCTTCCAGGATTTTCTGTTGGTCACAGGAGTTCTGTGTGCCAAGTTTGGTTCAATCCCATTGTTGGTGGAGTTCAGAATGCTCTTTGTTTGTGGGTGAACTATGAATCCCAGCAACTACAACTCCCAAATGTCAAGGTCTATTTTTCCCAAACTCCAGTAGTGTTTACATTTGGGCATATTGAGTATCCGTGCCAAGTTTGGTCCTGCTCCATCGTTTGAATTCACAGTGCTTTCTGGATGTAGGTGAACTACAACTCAAAAACTCAAGGTCAATGCCCACAAAATCCTTCTAGGATTTTCTGTTGGTCACAGGAGTTCTGTGTGCCAAGTTTGGTTCAATTCCATTGTTGGTGGAGTTCAGAATGCGCTTTGATTGTAGGTGAACTATATATAACTATATGTTCACCTACTACAACTCCCACAGGACAAAATTAATACCCTCCCCCAACCCCACCAGTATTCAAATTTGGGTGTATTGGGTATTTGTGCAAAATTTGGTCCAGTGAATGAAAATACATCCTGGATATCAGATTCATAACAGTAGCAAAATTACAGTTGTGAAGTAGCAATGAAAATAATTTTAGGGTTGGGGGTCACCACAACATGAGGAAGTGGACTAAGGGGTCGTGGCATGTGGAAGGTTGAGAACCACTGATGTAAACCATGCTCCTGGAAGATGGAACAAATGCCCTGCATAGTTTTCTTATGCTTGGCCCAAATTATTTTGTTGTTACAGTAAGTGTTGTTGTTGTTGTTGTTGTTGTTGTCATGGAGTGTTGGAGGTCAGCAAGCTTCATAGTTGAGCAGGGATTTCAGTGCAGTTGTCTCATCCCACAAATCAGGATGTGAGCAAACGGTGACCTTGCACCAGTGGCGTCCGTACCTTGGAAGTAATCAAGGTATGGATGCCATTGTAGTGGTGGTTTTGTTTTGAATGAAGCCCTGTTGTGACACCCTGGTTGTGGGTTCCTCCTGCAGCTGAGGGACAAATATGGCCCGGTCTTCACGGTCCACCTGGGCCCCCGGCGGGTGGTGGTCCTCTGCGGACACGATGCGGTCAAGGAGGCGCTGGTGGACCAAGCCGAGGAGTTCAGCGGCCGCGGAGAACTGGCCTCCATCGACCGGAACTTCAACGGAACCGGTGAGTGGACTTCTTTTGATGTATGTTTGGGGAGCTCTCCAGAACATCAGGGCAAGTGTTGGGGCCGACTGCCATTCCCTCTTATTAATTAGCCCCCAAAACTTCAGAGATTTTAATCTAATCAAACACTGAAAGCAGGAGAACATTTTGCAACATGTTTAATTGAACAAGTCACTTGGTAATGTAAACATGTTGTTTTCCACCAAGAGTTAATCATTTGCCTCTGGTCATCAATAGTTAAGTGACTTAATTACAGTTCATTGATTTTTGATCTGGGTTGTTGTAGGTTTTTCGAGCTGTCTGGCCATATTCTAAAAGCATTCTCTCCTGACGTTTCGCCTGCATCTATGGCAAGCATCCTCAAAGGTTGGGAGGTCCTCTCAAGCTCTAAGGATGCCTGCCAGAGATGCAGGCGAAACGTCAGAATCTATTTCATGAAACTCTTCCCAATATTTAGGTGGGACCTCTTTTCCTGAAATTGGAACCCACTGCTCCATTGTCTCAACTTGGAGGTCGGGACCCCTGGGGAGGGGGTCATGAAGGGGTGTCAGAGGGATCACCAAAGACCATCTGAAAACATGTTATATTCTATACTGTTGAAGGCTTTCATGGCCCGGAATCACTGGGTTGTTGTAAGCTTTTCAGGCTAGATGGCCATGTTCTAGAGGCATTCTCTCCTGACGTTTCGCCTGCATCTATGGCAAGCATCCTCAGAGGTTGTGAGGTCTGTGGCAAGCATCCTAAGAGGTTGCATCTATGATTGGGAAAATAAGGTTATGGTTGGGAAAAGAACGTTATGTTGGGAAAAGAACGTTACGGTTGGGAAAATAACGTTACGGTTGGGAAAAGAACGTTACGGCTGGGAAAAGAACGTTACAGTTGGGAAAATAACGTTACGGTTGGGAAAATAACGTTACGGTTGGGAAAATAACGTTATGGTTGGGAAAACAACGTTACGGTTGGGAAAACAACATTACGGTTGGGAAAACAACGTTACGGTTGGGAAAACGTTACGGTTGGGAAAATAACGTTACGGTTGGGAAAATAACCTTACGGTTGGGAAAATAACCTAACGGTTGTGAAAATAACGTTACGGTTGGGGAAATAATGTTATGGTTGGGAAAATAACGTTATGGTTGGGAAAATAACGTTACGGTTGGGAAAATAACGTTACGGTTGGGAAAATAACGTTACGGTTGAGAAAATAACGTTGCGGTTGGGAAAATAACGTTACGGTTGGGAAAATAACGTTACGGTTGGGAAAATAACGTTACGATTGGGAAAACCACGTTACGGTTGGGAAAATAACGTTATGGTTGGGAAATAACGTTATGGTTGGGAAAATAACATTATGGTTGGGAAAATAACGTTATGGTTGGGAAAATAACGTTATGGTTGGGAAATAACGTTATGGTTGTGAAAATAACGTTATGGTTGGGAAAATAACGTTACGGTTGGGAAAATAACGTTATGATTGGAAAAATAACGTTATGGTTGGGAAAATAATGTTACGGTTGGGAAAATAATGTTATGGTTGGCACAGCATGAGGAACTGGATTCAGGGGTCGCAGCATCAGGAAGGTTGAGAAACGTTGTCCTACACATCGTGATGCTAGACCTTCCTTTGCAGGGGTGGTGCTGGCCAACGGGGAGCGATGGAAGCAGTTGCGGCGCTTCTCCCTGACCGCTCTGAGGAATTTCGGGATGGGGAAGCGGTCCATTGAGGAGCGGATCCAGGAGGAAGCCCAGTTCCTGATGGAGGCCTTCAGGAAGACCCAAGGTGGGTGCTGGCCCCGTGGGGCAAGGGTTCCTATCCCGAAGGCTTTTCCCCATGACCCATGGGAGTCCCTTTCTCTCTCCCATCCAGGCCAGCCCTTTGACCCCACCTTCTTCCTGAGCCGCACCGTCTCCAACGTCATCAGCTCTGTGGTCTTTGGCCACCGCTTCGACTACGAAGACGAGACCTTCCTCTCTCTGCTGCGCAAGATCAACGAGAGCTTCCTGGAGATGAGCGACCCTTCAGCCCAGGTGAGAATGTGGAAGTTCCCCATCCAAGCACAATCCAGGACACACCCTACTTGGCTTCTAAGTTCAAACTGGATCCAAGAGTATCTTTCAGGATATTTAGTCCTATCTTAAATAGGGTTGACTACCCTCTGAAGTGGTCTTGCCAGTTTCTCTGAAAGGGGCTACTTATTGGTCTCCCATCCAAGTACTATCCAGGGCTGATCCTGCTTAGCATTCAAGATTAGGTGGGATCTGGCATCTTTAGGGTACTCAGGCCTATGTCTTCCATGGTCCATGTGTTGACCTTCAAGTTGCCAATTCCTTTCTCTAAAAACAGAGTCTGAGATAATCTGGGGGTTACTAAGTGGACTCCCATCCAAATACGAACCAGGGGGTGACCCTGCTTAGCTCCCATGGTCAAACAAAATCTGGTGCTTTTACGCTAAATAGGAGTTTCAGAGGTGAGTTTGCCAGTTCCTTCCTCTAATAATAGAGCCTAGGGGCACCTGGGGGTTACTTGTTGAACTCCCATCCAAATACGAACCAGGACTGACCCAGCTTAGCTCCCATGATCAAACAAAATCTGTCACCTTGAGGCTAAATAGGAGTTTCAGATATGAGTTTGCCAATTCCTTCTTCTGAAAGGAGCATGTGGGGTCACTTGTTGGTCTCCCATCCAAGTACTATCCAGGGCTGACCCTGCTTAGCATTCAAGATCAGGTGGGATCTGGCACCTTTAGGGTACTCAGGCCTATTTCTTCCATGGTCTATGTGTTTACCTTCAAGTTACCACTTCCTTTCTCTAAAAATAGAGCCTATGGGCACCTGGGGGTTACTTGTTGAACTCCCATCCAAATACAAACCAGGGCTGACCCAGCTTAGCTCCCATGGTTAAACAAAATCTGGTGCTTTTAGGCTAAATAGGAGTTTCAGAGGTGAGTTTGCCAGTTCCTTCCTCTAAAAATAGAGCCTAGGGGCACCTGGGGGTTACTAGGTGGACTCCCATCCATATACAAACCAGGGCTGACCCAGCTTAGCTCCCATGATGAAACAAAATTGGATGCTTTTAGACTAAATAGGAGTTTCAGAGGTGAATTTGCCAGTTCCTTCCTCTAAAAATAGAGCCTAGGGGCACCTGGGGGTTACTAGGTGGACTCCCATCCAAATACGAACCAGGGCTGACCCAGCTTAGCTCCCATGATCAAACAAAATTGGATGCTTTTAGGCTAAATAGGAGTTTCAGATATGAGTTTGCCAATTTCTTCTTCTGAAAGGAGCATGTGGGGTCACTTGTTGGTCTCCCATCCAAGTACTATCCAGGGCTGACCCTGCTTAGCATTCAAGATCAGGTGGGATCTGGTACCTTTAGGTTACTCAGGCCTATGTCTTCCATGGTTTATGTGTTGACCTTCAAGTTGCCAGTTCCTTCCTCTAAAAACAGAGCCTAAGAGCACCTGGGGGTTACTAGGTGGACTCCCATCCAAGTACTAACCAGGGCTGACCCTGCTTAGCATTCAAGATCAGGTGGGATCTGGTACCTTTAGGATACTCAGGCCTATGTCTTCCACGGTCTATGTGTTGACCTTCAAGTTGCCAGTTCCTTCCTCTAAAAACAGAGCCTTAGAGCACCTGGGGGTTACTAGGTGGACTCCCATCCAAGTACTATCCAGGGCTGACCCTGCTTAGCATTCAAGATCAGGTGGAATATGGCACCTTTAGGGTCACTCAGGCCTATCTCTTCCATATCTATGTCGTTACTTTCAAGTTGTCGGTGGACTTGTAGCGCCCCATGAATGTTGTAGGCTTTCCTTAGGCAAGGAATGGCCAGAGATGTCTTTGGTCAGCTCCTTCCTTCCTTCCTTCCTTCCTTCCTTCCTTCCTTCCTTCCTTTGCAGTTCTACGACATGTTTTCCTGCGTGATGCGCTACCTGCCTGGGAGGCACAACCGCCTCTATGACCTGTTGGAGGAGCTGAAGGCCTTCGTTGCGGAGAAAGCCCAGGCCAACCTGGAGACACTGGACCCCGACCACCCTCGGGACTTCATCGACTGCTTCCTCATCCAGATGGAGAAGGTGACCGCCAGGGAGACCTCTCTGGGTCTGAGGAAGGGGTCTTGCCATAGAACTTGCCGGGCAAGCAGGGAGGACGCCACTTGGAATCCTGGACCTGGAAGAGAGCTCCAAAGGCCGTCTTCGAGTCCAATCCTTTTCTGCCCAGGCAGGGAGGCACCATCCGATCACTCCTGACCGATGGCCATTCAGCCTCTACTTTATTTATTTATTTGTCGTGTCAGGACAACCAGTCAAATTATATTACATTTCTAACAGAACAAAGCAGACAAACAGACAAAATACAAAATTTGTGAGTTTGGTAGTTGAATAAATGTCCTTTGACCTGTATCTGGCCACTTGAAGTGCCAGAAGGTCCTCCAGGGTGCATGTGGCAAGTTGCATTGCAGCAGGTGGTCAGTGGTTTGCTCTTCTCCGCACTCGCATGTCGTGGACTCCACTTTGTGGCCTCATTTCTTGAGGTTGGCTCTGCATCTCGTGGTGCCAGAGCGCAGTCTGTTCAGCGCCCTCCAAGTCTTCTGTGTGCCCAGGGGGGAGTTCCTCATTTGGTATCAGTTCTGGGTTTGAGCCTGCCACTTTTGGACTCTCACTTGCTGGGGTGTTCCAGCGAGTGTCTCTGTAGATCTTAGAACACTATTTCTTGGTTTAAGTTATTGACGTGCTGGCTGATACCCAAACAGGGGATGATTTGGAGATGTCTCTGCCTTGGTCCTTTCACTATTGGCTGCCACTTCCCGGCGGATGTCAGGTGGTGCAATACCAGCTAAGCAGTGTAATTTCTCCAGTGGTGTGGGTCGCAGGCACCCCGTGGTAATGCGGCATGTCTTATTCAGAGCCACATCCACTGTTTTAGCGTGGTGAGATGTGTTCCACACTGGGCATGCATACTCAGCAGCAGAGTAGCACAGCGCAAGGGCAGATGTCTCCACTGTGTCTGGTTGTGATCCCCAGGTTGTGCCAGTCAGCTTTCATATGATATTGTTTCTAGCGCCCACTTTTTGCTTGATGTTCAGGCAGTGCTTCTTGTAGGTCAGAGCACGGTCCAGAGTGACTGCCAGGTATTTGGTTGCGCTGCAATGCTCCAGTGGGATTCCTTCCCAGGTAATAATCCTCAGAGCTCGGAGTGCTTGTCTGTTCTTAAGGTGAAAAGCACATGTCTGTGTTTTAGATGGATTAGGGATCAGTTGGTTTCCCCTGTAATAGGCAGTAAGAGCACCTAGAGCTTCGGAGAGCTTCTGTTCTGCCATCTCAAAGCTGCCTGCTTGAGCGGTGATGGCACGATCATCAGCATAGATGACGCTCTCTGTCCCTTCTGGCAGTGGCTGGTCATTTGTGTAGATGTTGAACATGGATGGGGCAAGCACGCTCCCCTGAGGCAGGCCATTCTTCTGTTTATGCCATCCGCTTCTCTGGCCCTGGAACTCAACAAAAAAGCTCCTGTTTGGTAGCAGGTTTCCTATGAGGCGGGTGAGGCAGTCGTCCTTTGTGATATTCTACATTTTTCTCAGGAGGAGGCAGCGGTGGTTCACAGTATCGTAGGCTGCGGACAGGTCTATGAAGACAGCTCCTGTGATCTGGTGCCTTTCAAAGCCATCTTCTCTGTGCTGAGTCAGGTTCAGCACTTGCGATGTGCAGCTTTTGCCTTTACTTTAAGCCTCTGCTTAAAAACCTATATTCCACTAGACCCCTTGAGGTTCCTTGGTGAAGTGTGTCTGTTAGGAATTGTGGGAGTTGAAGTCCAAGACACCTGGAGGGCCCAAGTTGGCCCATGCCTGCTTCAGGGAGACAGGAGTTTGAGTCCCTGCGCAAACTCTCCTCTTCCCTCCCTCTCCCAAAAGGAAAAGGGCAACCCTTCCAGCGAATTCAACATGGAGAACTTGGTGCCGACGGCCCTGAACCTTTTCTTTGGCGGGACGGAGACGGTCAGCTCCACCTTGCGCTATGGATTCCTCCTCCTGATGAAACACCCGGAAGTGGAAGGTCAGTCGTGGGAATGGGTTCCTCACTCCGTACAGATGTTGTCGAGCAATTTAGAATGGCTGTGGATAGGCCCAAGCCGTTGTGGGTTGTCTGGTGAGAAAGAAAAGTCAATATTACAGAATGAATCTCACCAAGCTGAAGAGAAAGCCACCGAGGTTTTTATTTCATTCCCGCTGGAAAGGATGACGATTGCAGTAACCTGCCAACAAAATCGACATGTCCATTGGGCAGAGAGATACAGTATTTATAGCCTTCATATTCAAAAGTTCCCATGCCCACCCCTCTCCCACCCCCTCCCGAGCTGGCGTTGTTATGATTGGCTGGGACGTCAGCAAGCCAGCAGGAGAGCCAATGGCGGCCTGAGCCCTGCTTTGGCCTCTCAGTCAATGAGGTGGAAGGGAGGTGGGCAATGAAGAAATGTCTAGCTGACTGGATTAAGATTACCAATATTTGCCAAATGGCTGGGTGATAACCTTTAGGCTCTCAAGCCTAGCCAAGGTTATTGTTTGAGTCTTTGGATTAATGTCTTGGTCTAGAGGCTACGTCCTTTGTTTTTGCAGTCCTGAGATATGGAGTCCATTGAAGAAGTTTGAAGCTGGTTTCGGCCAGTTGGGTTGACACAATGAGAAGAAGCTGTGGTGAAATCCTAGTTCCTCGCAGACAGGAAGACACCCTTTGTGTTGGGTGATTAAAATGTCCATAGAGCCTATCATTCCAGGTGGTCTGGCCTTGCCCTCTGCAGCCTGATTTTGATAAGAGCCGTTTATTTATTGTCCATGCAAGTGGGCTTGGTGAAACCTTTTGTTAAGGGATTACCAGCTCAAGGGTCGTGGAAGGACTTCCTGAGCCATGAGAGTTGCTGGTCTTACGAAACAGTAGCTTTTCCTTCATTTTTCAAAATATAGACACACTCACATATAATGATATGAGGAAGGGGGACATACAAGGAATTCATGGGATAGATCATGCAAAGTCAGCCCTCCAAAGTTCATCAAAAGTCCATAAAGATCGTTGAAAATCATATGAACCCATTGGGTATTGGCAAGAGGGTTCCCCAGAGTTCCAAAGTCCTTTAAAAGTGGATTAAAGTTCCATAAGGTTTATGAATGTGGGGGAAAGGTCATAAGAGTTGGGCCATGAGGCCATGGAAAAAGCCTTAGGTTCCCACATAGGGAGAGATAGGGGATTGTGGGATCATTCCAGCCTGGCGTCCTTGGCAAAACTGCTCCTGTGGAATAGTAATATTCTGCTGATGTCATCCCAAAGTTGTAAATTAATAATAGATGTCTTCCATCCTGGCTCCATCTCAGTTTCCTGGCCAGACGTTGATCTTCTTGATTGGTATTGATATTGATCTTCCTAACATAAGGAATGTTGCAAACATTTCCTTAACTTGAAATAATCATTGTCACAATTATTATCATAGTTTATTTTCAGTTCTCATTAGCAACTTTTAATTACAGTCCAGCAAGCAGGTGGTTAGTCATTGCAGGCCTTAATATTACACTTTCAGTTCTCATTAGCAACTTTTAATTACAATCCAGCAAGCAGGTAGTTAGACATTGCAGGCCTTAATATAATACTTTCGGTTCTCATTAGCAACTTTTAATTACAGCCCAGCAAGCAAGTAGTTAGTCATTGCAGGCCTTAATATTATACTTTCAGTTCTCATTAACAACTTTTAATTACAGTCCTGCAAGCGGGTAGTTAGTCATTGCAGACCTTAATATTACACTTTCAGTTCTCATTAGCAACAGTCCAGCAAGCAGGTGGTTAGTCATTGCAGGGCTTAATATTATACTTTCTGTTCTCATCAGCAACTTTTAATTACAGTCCAGCAAGCAGGTAGTTAGTCGTTGCAGGCCTTAATATAATACTTTCAGTTCTCATTAGCAACTTTTAATTACAGTCCAGCAAGCAGGTAGTTAGTTATTGCAGGCCTTAATATTATACTGGTGTCTCCAAAATTATTAACTCCATCCCTACATCCTTCCATTCTTCCATTCATTTCCACACATCATATTAAATCCACATTTATCAAATCTGCACATTGGATTTCTTATTACAACATGGGCGTGACACAGCATTATACAGCTTCCATGACCGGGTCCACTTATTTTTAACCCTTCAGTGGCAACAACCAGTGACCACATATTCTGGAAAAAGTTTTTTTTCCCATGCACACATTTAAATTCATGAAGTTTGCATTTCTAGCTAATACACAGCAATTACTAACTGACACAACTCTCCTCTCTTTTGGGTTCCTGACTCCCTTCTGTTCCACAGCGCATGTGAGATTTTGTCTGAACTTTATTTCGTCTGGTAATTTTCTAATTTTCCCTAGCTCTGGCCTCTTCACTGGAACCCATTTTGGGTGTCTTTTCTTGCAGAGAAGGTCCACCAGGAAATTGACCGGGTCATTGGGCGCGAACGCCTCCCCAGCATCGAGGACCGGAAGAGGATGCCCTTCACGGATGCGGTCATCCACGAGATCCAGCGGGTGACGAACATCGTGCCCCTCGGGATGCCCCACAGCGTGGTCCGGGACACACACTTCCGGGGCTTCGTGCTCCCAAAGGTGAGGCCAGGGCCAAAAGGTGGATGGAGATGCACCTGGGTGAGGTGTGCAGCGCTGTATCATAATTTACAACTTTTAATTACAGTCCAGCAAGCAGGTAGTTAGTCATTGTAGGCCTTAATATTATACTCCATTCCTGGTCTCTTGCAGGGCACCAATGTCTTCCCTTTGCTGGGCTCCGTTCTGCGGGACCCCAAATACTTCCGCAACCCTGATAAGTTTGACCCAGGTCACTTCCTGGACACTGACGGACGCTTCAAGAAGAACGAGGCCTTTGTGCCCTTTGCCTCAGGTATGGCTCCAAACTTCTTAGCATGGCAAGGGACCCACAGAGGCCATCTAGTCCAAGCCCATTCTTCCAGGCACAGCTCAGCTCTATCTTTCTGTTAATGGGATGAGCTCAGAGCAGGGAGACCTGGGTTCAAATCACGACTCCGTTCAGAAAACTGGACTTGGGCAAGCCACTCCCTTTCTGCTTAAGCTCATTGGCTGGGGATGAAATTGGATGATTATGAACGTATGTATTATTTACTAGCTGTACCTGCCACACGTTGCTGTGGCCAACATTTCCTTAACTTGAAATAATCATTGTCACAATTCCTATCACAGTTTACTTTTCAGTTCTCATTAGCAAGTTTTAATTACAGTCCAGCAAGCAGGTAATTAGTCATTGCAGGCCTTAATATTATACTTTCAGTTCTCATTAGCAACTTTTAATTACAGCCCAGCAAGCAGGTAGTTAGACATTGCAGGCCTTAATATTATACTTTCAGTTCTCATTAGCAACTTTTAATTACAGTCCAGCAAGCAGGTAGTTAGACATTGCAGGCCTTAATATTATACTTTCAGTTCTCATTAGCAAGTTTTAATTACAGTACAGCAAGCAGGTAATTAGTCATTGCAGGCCTTAATATTATACTTTCAGTTCTCATTAGCAACTTTTAGTTACAGCCCAGCAAGCAGGTAGTTAGTCACTGCAGGCCTTAATATTATACTTTCAGTTCTCATTAGCAACTTTTAATTACAGCCCAGCAAGCAGGTAGTTAGTCATTGCAGGCCTTAATATTATACTTTCAGTTCTCATTAGCAACTTTTAATTACAATCCAGCAAGCAAGTAGTTAGTCATTGCAGGCCTTAACATTATACCTTCAGTTCTCATTAGCAACTTTTAATTACAGCCCAGCAAGCAGGTCGTTAGTCATGGCAGGCCTTAATATTATGTTTTCAGTTCTCATTAGCAACTTTTAATTACAGCCCAGCAAGCAGGTCGTTAGTCATGGCAGGCCTCAATATTATGTTTTCAGTTCTCATTAGCAACTTTTAATTACAACCCAGCAAGCAGGTAGTTAGTCATTGCAGGCCTTAATATTATACTTTCAGTACTCATTAGCCACTTTTAATTACAGCCCAGCAAGCCTTCCTTTCCTCCTTTCCTCCCTCCCTCCCTCCCTTTTTCTTTTCTTCCTTCCTTCCTTTCATTTTTTTCTTTCCTTTTTTTTCCTTCTCTACCTCTTTCCTTCCTTCGCCTCCTTTTTTTCTTTCTCTCCTTTCTTCCTTCTCTGTCTATTAGGCATGAGCAATCCATGGTTCTAAATAGTTCTTAGGTACTTACAAAACTGAAGTTCTGGTGGTGAAAACTAGGGGGTGCTGGTGCTTTGCTTCTATAGTGTTGCTAAAGTTCTGGTGGTGAAAATTTCAGAACTCTAACAAAACTTTCAAAATTTCACTAATATTTCATTATTGGCAATTTTTATGACAGAGCCAAGTAGGAACTGCCATTTATAATGAAATTTTGAAAGTTTTGTTAGAGTTCTGAAATTTTCACCTCCAGAACTTTAGTTTTGTAAGTACTTTAGAACCATTTAGAACCATGGATTGCCCATGCCTACTATCTATTCTTGGACTGTAACTCCCAGCAGTTCACCTGATTGATCTCTCTACCTATTATCAATCTCAAACTAATCTATCTATCTGGAGGATTTCTGGAAGTTGCAGTCCAGGAATAGGAAATGGGAAATACACAGGGATTGGGATGCTCTCAAAGAAATCCAAGGAGAAGCAAGTTTGCAGCTTGGAAGCAGTGCATTTGGAGCATCCTCCTCTCCTCAAGGGCCTGGTTGAAGGGATGCTGGGAGCTGTTGTTTTCATGCATGCCCTGTATTCATAGAATCCTAGAATCAAAGAGTTGGAAGAGACCTCATGGGCCATCCAGTCCAACCCCATTCTGCCAAGAAGCAGGAATATTGCATTCAAATCACCCCTGACAGATGGCCATCCAGCCTCTGCTTAAAAGCTTCCAAAGAAGTAGCCTCCACCACACTCCGGGGCAGAGAGTTCCACTGCTGAACGGCTCTCACAGTCAGGAAGTTCTTCCTCATGTTCAGATGGAATCTCCTCTCTTGTAGTTTGAAGCCATTGTTCCATTGCGTCCTAGTCTCCAGGGAAGCAGAAAGAAGCTTGCTCCCTCCTCCTCCCTGTGGCTTCCTCTCACATATTTATACATGGCTATCATATCTCCTCTCAGCCTTCTCTTCTTCAGGCTAAACATGCCCAGCTCCTTAAGCCGCTCCTCATAGGGCTTGTTCTCCAGACCCTTTATCATTTGAGTCGCCCTCCTCTGGACACATTCCAGCTTGTCAATAGTGGTGAGAGGGAACGGAGTAGATCACCAAGATCTGAGTATTACAAAGCGGGATTGGGAAATGGACGGAAGGCAGGACTATGGCAATCTGAAGCCACAACATATCAAATAGTCAATAATGCATTGTTTGTTGATACTGTGGCTGCTCAAGGCGTCATGGAGGAGGGAAGGGGTTCCGTTAACCGGGGAGCCCCCATAGAAGTCGTGGTGGGGAGGGGGAGATACGGGAAAGGGAGGCCTTTAATTCGACCTAGGGAACGGGGAACAACATTAGTAATTCCAAATCGGTCTCCTGATATGGTAAGTCGGTGTAACCAGGATGGCGGTCCCTCCGAATTGAAAGTGGTGCTGTTGAACGCCAGATCTGTCAACGGCAAAACAACTTTCATCCAGGATTTAATCCTGGATGAACGGGCAGATCTGGCGTGCATTACAGAGACCTGGCTGGACGAAGCGGGAGGTGTAAATTTAACCCAGCTTTGCCCACCAGGTTTCTCTGTGCAGCACCAACCGAGATCCGGAGGGCGGGGAGGTGGGGTTGCAGTGGTCTATAGAGATTCCATTCTTCTGACCAGGGCCCCCATCCCGCAGTCAACAAAATTTGAATGCGTCCACCTGAGGGTGGGTGATCGGGACAGATTAGGGATTCTGTTAGTGTACCGTCCACCTCGCTGCACTACAGTCTCCCTGCCTGAGCTAGCGGGGGTGGTCTCGGACCTGGCATTGGAGTCCCAGCGGCTGCTTGTGCTGGGGGGCTTCAATGTCCACGCCGAGGCCGCCCTATCGGGAGCGGCTCAGGACTTCATGTCTACCATGGCAACCATGGGGCTGTCCCAACAGGTATCTGGCCCCACCCACAGTGCTGGACATACATTGGACTTGGTTTTCTGTCAGGGATGGGAGGAAGGTGGCGGTGTTGAGGAGTTGTCCATCTCTCCGTTGCCATGGACCGACCACCACCTGGTCAGCTTTAGACTCACTGCACCCCCTAACCTCCGCAGAGGTGGAGGACCCATTAAATTGGTCCGCCCCAGGAGGCTTATGGATCCGGATGGATTCCTGATGGCTCTTGGGGAATTCCCCGCCACCTCGGTTGGTGATCCTGTTGATGCTCTGGTCGCTCTCTGGAATGGGGAGATGACTAGGGCAATAGACACGATCGCTCCAGAACGTCCCCTCTCAAGTAGCCGAGCTAAACCAGCTCCTTGGTTTACCGAGGAGCTGGCAGCGTTGAAGCGAAAGAAGAGGGAACTAGAGAGCGTGTGGCGTTCGGATCCGAGCGAGCCAAATCGAACACGGTTTGTGTCCTTTTTAAGGGCATATGCCGCGGCAATAAAAGCCGCAAAGAAAACTTTCTTTGCGGCCACTATTGCGTCTGCAAAGAACCGTCCGGCTGAACTGTTCCGAGTTGTCAGAGGCCTATTAAAACCCGCCACCCAGGATGGGTGCCCTGATGACTCGGCAGCTCGCTGCGAAGCTTTTGCTCGGTTCTTCGCAGACAAAGTCGCTTTGATCCGCTCTGGACTGGATACCATATTAACGGCAGTATCTGAGGATGTAACACGAGCATCTGCTTGTCCGGTTTTGATGGATTCATTTCAATTGGTTCAATCCGAGGATGTGGACAAGGTGCTTGGAGGAATGAGAGCTACCACATGCATCCTAGACCCCTGCCCATCCTGGCTTCTGAAGGAGCCAGAGGGGGATTGGCCGAGTGGGTGAAGGTGGTGGTTAATGCCTCCCTTCGGGAGGGCAAAATTCCAGCCAGCTTAAAGCAAACTGTGATAAAACCGCTGTTGAAGAAACCATCACTGGACCCCACTCAATTCGTCAACTATCGGCCTGTTTCCAATCTCCCCTTTTTGGGCAAAGTCATGGAACGTGTGGTGGCCTTACAACTCCAGGCATTCTTGGTAGACACGGATTATCTGGATCCGGCACAGTCTGGCTTTAGGCCGGGGCATGGTACCGAGACAGCCTTGGTCGCCTTAGTGGATGATCTGCGTCGGGAGCTCGACAGGGGGAGTGTGTCCCTGTTGGTGCTGCTCGACCTCTCAGCGCCTTCGATACCGTCGACCACGGTATCCTTCTGGGACGCCTCGCGGGGATGGGTCTTGGAGGTACTGTTCTGCAGTGGCTCCGCTCATTCCTCGAGGGTCGGTCTCAGAAGGTGTTACTGGGAGACTCCTGTTCAACCCCACAACCTTTGTCTTGTGGGGTTCCTCAGGGTTCAATACTGTCTCCCATGTTGTTTAACATCTACATGAAGCCGCTGGGCGAGATCATCCGGAGTTTCGGAGTGCGATGTCATCTGTACGCAGATGATGTCCAACTCTGTCACTCCTTTCCACCTGCTACTAAGGAGGCTGTCGAGGTCCTGAACCGGTGCTTGGCCGCTGTGACGGTCTGGATGGGGGCGAACAAATTGAAATTGAATCCAGACAAGACAGAGGTACTCCTGGTCAGTCGTAAGGCCGAACAGGGTATAGGGTTACAGCCTGTGTTAGACGGGGTCGCACTCCCCCTGAAGACGCAGGTTCGCAGTTTGGGTGTGATCCTGGATTCATCGCTGAGCCTGGAACCCCAGGTTTCGGCGGTGACCAGGGGAGCTTTCGCACAGCTAAAACTTGTGCGCCAACTGCGACCGTACCTTGGGAAGTCTGACTTGGCCACGGTAGTCCACGCTCTGGTTACATCCCGCCTTGACTACTGCAACGCTCTCTACGTGGGGTTGCCTTTGAAGACAGTCCGGAAGCTCCAATTAGTCCAACGGGCGGCAGCCATGATACTAACAGGAGCGGGGCGCAGGGAGCACACACCTCCTCTGCTGCACCAGCTCCACTGGCTGCCGATATGCTACCGGGCTCAATTCAAAGTGCTGGCGTTGGCCTTTAAAGCCCTAAACGGTTCTGGCCCAACTTATCTATCCGAACGTATCTCAGCCTATCAGCCCACCAGGACCCTAAGATCTTCTGGAGAGTCCCTGCTCTCTGTCCCTCCGGCCTCAGAAGTGCGGCTGGCGGGAACGAGAGACAGGGCCTTCTCTGTGGTGGCCCCTCGGCTTTGGAACACCCTCCCTATAGAGGTACGATCAGCCTCTTCGCTGATGGTCTTTCGGAAGAGATTGAAAACATGGTTGTTTAGACAAGCTTTCGGTTAACCCGTTGCAACCGAAGTGTGTTGACCAAAGGACAGGTAACCATGGACGACGAATTTTTGGATTGTGTTTTTAGTTCGAGATGCATGGAATTATTATTGGTGGCCCAATAATTTTGTATTGTATTTGTTGATTGTATGTTTTGAATTGATGATTGTTTTTAATTGTTGTAAACCGCAATGAGTCGCCGATTTAGGCTGAGATATTAGCGGTATACAAGTGTATAAATAAATAAATAAATAAATAAATAAATAATAAATCTCTCTTGAATTGTGGTGCCCAGAGTTGGACACAATGTGATTCCAGGTAACGTGGTCTAACCAAGGCGGAATAGAGCCTGGGGAGCAGGACTTCCCTGGACCTAGACACTATGCTTCTATTGATGCAGGCCAAAATCCCATTGGTTTTTTTTGCCGCCACATCACATTGTTGGCTCATGTTTAACTGTTGTCCACGAGGACTCCAAGATCTTTTTCACACGTCCTGCTCTCGAGCCAGGCCATGTCCCCCATTCTGTATCTTTGCATTTCGTTTTTCCTGCCAAAGTGGAGTATCTTGCATTTGTCACTGTTGAACTTCATTTTGTTAGTTTTGGCCCATCTCTCTAATCTGTCAAGATCGTTTTGAATCCTGCGCCTGTCCTCTGGAGTATTGGCTCTCCCTCCCAATTTGGTGTTGTCTACAAACTTGATGATCCTGCCTTCTAGCCCTTCATCTAAGTCATTAAGAAAGATGTTGAACAGGACCGGGCCCAGGACGGAACCCTGCGGATGGCACTGCACTCGTCACTTCTTTCCAAGATGAAGAGGAAGTGACAAGTGGAGTGCCTCAGGGTTCCGTCCTGGGCCCGGTCCTGTTCAACATTTTTATTAATGACTTAGATGAAGGGCTAGAAGGCAGGATCATCAAGTTTGCAGACGACATTGTCATTTAGCTTTTGGGGGTGTTTATTTATTTTATTTATTTATTTATTTATTACTGTGCTTATATACCGCCGTTTCTCAGCCTAAGTCGGCGACTCAACGCGGTTTACAACACAACGACAAGCAGCAATATTCCATTAAAAAGCATAAAAACACATACACAATACGCAATATTATTGGGCCACCAATAATAATCCAATGCATCTCTTAATTGTAGTCGCAATCCAATTTCGTCGTCTGTGATTAACCAATCCTTGTTCATCAGTTTCGTTGCACCAGATTAATCGAATGCTTGTTTAAACATCCATGTCTTCAACCTTTTTCGAAATACCATCAGCGAAGGGGCTGATCTCACCTCTATGGGGAGGGCATTCCAAAGCCGAGGGGCCACCACAGAAAAGGCCCTGTCTCTCATTCCCGCCAGCCGCACCTGTGAAGCAGGCGGGATAGAGAGAAGAGACTCTCCGGAAGATCTTAGGGTCCTGGTGGGCTGATAGGCCGAGATACGTTCGGATAGATAAGTTGGGCCAGAACCGTTTAGGGCTTTAAAGGCCAACGCCAGCACTTTCAATTGGGCCCGGTAGCAAATCGGCAGCCAGTGGAGCTGGTGCAGCAGAGGAGTTGTATGCTCCCTGCGCCCCGCTCCGGTTAGTATCATGGCTGCCGCCCGTTGGACTAATTGGAGCTTCCGAGCCGTCTTCAAAGGCAACCCCACGTAGAGAGCGTTGCAGTAGTCAAGACGGGATGTAACCAGAGCGTGGACTATCGTGGCCAAGTCAGACTTCCCAAGGTATGGGCACAGCTGGCGCACGAGCTTTAGTTGTGCAAATGCTTCCCTGGTCACCGCTGAGACCTGGGGTTCCAGGCTCAGCGATGAGTCCAGGGTCACACCCAAACTGCGAACCTGCGTCTTCAGGGGGAGTGCGGCCCCATCCAACACAGGCTGTAACCCTATGCCCTGTTCGGCCTTGCGACTGACCAGGAGTACCTCTGTCTTGTCTGGATTCAATTTCAATTTGTTCGCCCCCATCCAGACCGTCACAGCGGCCAGGCACCGGTTCAGGACCTCAACAGCCTCCTTAGTAGCAGGTGGGAAGGAGTGACAGAGTTGGACATCATCTGCGTACAGGTGACATCGCACCCCGAAACTCCGGATGATCTCGCCCAGCGGCTTCATGTAGATGTTTAAGTCCCTTTCTCCTGAGTGATGGTCACTTGTTGTCCTAGGAGGTGTCTTGTGTCCAAATTTGGTGTCAATTCGTCCAGTGCTTTTTGAGTTCTGTTAATCCCAGAAACGAACATTACCTTTTTTTTTATACCTAGCTGTACCCGCCACACGTTGCTGTGGCCAACTTTCATAGAATCATAGACTCATAGAGTTGGAAGAGACCTGGTGGGCCATCCAGTCCAACCCCATTCTGCCAAGAAGCAGGAAAATCACATTCAAAGCACCCCCGACAGATGGCCATCCTGCCTCTGTTTAAAAGCCTCCAAAGAAGGAGTTGCCACCACACTCTGGGGCAGAGAGTTCCACTGCTGAACAACTCTCACAGTCAGGAAGTTCTTCCTCGTGTGCAGATGGAATCTCCTCTCTTGAAGTTTGAAGCCATTGTTCCCTTGCGTCCTAGTCTCCAAGGAAGCAGAAAGGAAGCTTGCTCCCTCCTCCTCCCTGTGGCTTCCTCTCACATACTTATACATGGCCCTCATCATGTCTCCTCTCAGCCTTCTCTTCTGCAGGCTAAACATACCCAGCTCTTCTTTCCCTCTTTCTCTCCTCCTTTCTTTCTCTCCTTCCTTCCTTCCCTTTTATTCTTTCATTCTCCCCTTCCTTCCTCCTCCCTCCCTCCCTCCCTTCCTTCTCTTCCTCTTCCCTTCCTTCCCTCCTTTTCTTTCCCTTCCCCTTTCTCCTCTTTCTTCCTTCTCTACCTATTCTTGGACTGCAACTCCCAGCAGTCCTCCTGATCAGTTTTTCTACTTATCAATCTCTATTTAATCTTATCTATCTGGAGGATTGCTGGGAGTTGCAGTCCAGGAATAAGAAATGGGAAATCTGCAGGGATTGGGATGCTCTCAAAGAAATCCAAGGAGAAGAAGGCTTGCATCTTGGAAGCAGGGCATTTGGATCGTCCTCCTCTCCTAAAGGGCCTGGTCTAAGGGATGCTGGGAGTTGTAGTCCAGAAGAGAGTGTGGCTGTGCTATTGTGTGTTTTATTTGTTGGGGGAGTCATTTTTGCATATGCGCTGTAGTGTCTTTTTGCTTTTTTGGCCTTTTAAGTCCCTTCTGCTGTGCTTTTCAGTGTTTTAATGAGTGATGGTCTCTCGTTGGCCTTATAGGTGTCTTGTGTCCCAATTTGGTGTCAATTCGTCCAGTGGTTTTTGAGTTACGTTAATCCCACAAACAAACATGACATTTTTATTGATATAGATTATTACTATATTTTAATTCCCACTTTTATCTCTTGACTGAGACTCAAAACAACCATCCCCTCCTCCCAATGCATGCTATGTCAATGGGATGAGTGAGCATTTCACTCTCCTTTTATGTAGCCACCGGGTGACTTGCCATCACTAAGGGACAAATCAATGATGCAACTTCCAATCACACAACTCACATGAATGTGACTCATTGATTTCTGCAATACCCTCAGGAATTTCATCCTACCTCTCAGTCCTTCCCCAGGGGTTCATCACACGTCCAGCAGAACGGTATTTTACACATGGATCAAGTGCTCAGGCATTTTCCATCCAATATGCAGTTCAAAGGAGTTTGGAAAAAGAGTGCAGTAGCAATCATTGCTCCTTTCCTTCTCTCGTTCCCTCAGGGAAGCGCGTTTGCCTGGGGGAAGCCATGGCCCGCATGGAGCTCTTCCTCTATTTGGCCACCATCCTGCAGAACTTCAACCTTAAGGCCTTGGGGCCCCCGGAGGACATTGACCTGACCCCCCAGGTCAGCGGCTTTGGAAACATCCCCCCGGACTATCGGATGCGCCTGGTGCCCCGCGGCTGAACCTGCGCCCATCGTGAGGCCGGAGTCACTATTCTTCCCCAGGAGTGGTGCATTCCTCTTGTGCAGAGTCCTACCTCACAACTACACAACATGAAACACACAATTTTGGAGATGCTTTAGGTCAACCAATACTCAGGGTAGATTCATAGACTCAGAAGGGAGTTGATTAGTGAATGGTGTAGTGAACCGATGGCACATTTCTTCCATAATGGCATTTTCTCCTCATTTTGAACGGGATTCCAAGATTTGCTCTGTAGGATCACAAAGTCCATCACCTTCACAACATTTACCATAGGATTTCAGCTTAGCATTTGGTTCTTCGTCTCATTAAAGCCAAATATTTTCCTAACGTTGTAGAGAAGAAACAGGACCCCGACACTGCCCTCAAAAGCATATTCAAAAAACTCATAAGTCCTGCTTTCAAAATTTTTATGTGTCATGTTCAAATCCCCAAACATGTCAAAAGCGTGATAGGTGCGTGATTTAGAGTTTTCTCCTTCCTCAATCATGCTGTCCTTGAATACGCTGCACATCGGACTGATTGTCTCAGAGGCAAGATATGAAAATAAACCCATGCATAGCAGAGTCCTTATCCGTTGAATGGCAGAGTTTTGCTGCACAGCCTGATTTCATCCAAACTCACAGTAGGGCTTTTAATCTTGATATGTTGTTTTATGTACAGCTATATACACATGTCAGGATTCCCTGATGCCCTGTCAATCACAGTGGCAACAACAACAACAACAACTTTATTTATGGACTGCCCTCTCTCCCCAAGGGGACTCAGGTCGGTTTACACACAAAGAAGGCAAACATTCAATGCCTGAACTCAAATACAAATATTTTAAAACAAACAGAATAATACAAAAAACTCATGCAACTCTCGTCACGCCTATCACATTTGTCCCTTCAGTTCTTTGCATGTCCCTTCAGTTCCACATCATCACCCACTTAACCCTTTAGTGGGTGTGTGATCACATGTCCATTAGAATGGTACTTTCCAAACAGTTTTGCACAATAGGACAACACAGGCTCCTTGGCTTGGAAATGGAGAACAGCACCACCTCCAGAGCCAGAAATGAAAGGAGAAGCCTTTGCCTGTGAATTTGTGTCTCGTTTTATCTTAATGTAACAAGGCATTGACTGTTTGCCTGTGTCTGTTTATATGTTGTAATCTGCTCGGAGTCCCTTGGGGGAAGGGTGGAATATAAATAAAGTGTTATTAATAGGGTTACAGCCAATGCATTCCTGTCTAACAGTGCACTATCTATCTATCTATCTATTATTATTATTATTATTATTATTAATAATAATAATAATAATAATAATAATAATAATAATAGGCCTAGACACTTGAGAAGTGTCCGATATGTGAATGCGCACAGACTATGTTATCATCAGCATACTGGAGTTCTATAATAGAAACATGGACTCTCTACAGATGTCACACGCAACTCCTGGAACGATTCCATCAGCGCTGCCTCCGGAAAATCCTGCAAATATCTTGGGAAGACAGGCGGACAAAGGTCAGCATGCTGGAAGAAGCAAAGACCACCAGCACTGAAGTGATGCTCCTCCGCCATCAATTCCACTAGCATTTTGAATTACGGCCACTGGGGGAGCTGCTGCTTCACCGTCCACTTGTGACACCAATGGAGTACTTCTTCATTCTTTTGCACGCTGCTGGAGAGTTTTATGGCGTTGTAAATTGGTTAAATTAGCCTCCTGCATAAGTGGTACCTAAATTTCCTACTTGACAGATGCAATGGTCTTTTGGGCTGCAAAGGTCGACAGCAAGCTAGACAGATAGGTGGGAGCTTACTCTGACCTGAGCTGGCTTCGAACTCATGACTTTTCAGTCAGTAGTGATTTTAATGCAGCTGACTCCCAACCAACTGTGTGTGGTTAGGAGGAGAGAGGAGAGAGGCAAGGGTCTAAAGGTGGAGGGGCCAGGGAAGTTTTATGCAAAGGAGAGGATGCTGCAGATCTCATTCGGTGTTGTTGTCTTTGGAAAACTATAAATTCCTAACTATAAATCCCTTTTTATTAGGGGTGAGGGTGGCGGTGTTTGATAACAAGAATAGATCAGATGCAGTCTGACATGAGTTACTGCAAAGTACCCAGATAATCAGGAAATGTTACCAAGCCTGAGGATGGATTGCCTGTATTTGGCCCAACTTTGCTGTGAAGCGAGCATTCGCGCACACAGATGTACCTTTGGGGGTTCCGCCCTCACTTCCGCCGCTTCCTCTTCCGTGTACTTTCCTGCATCCTGAGTTATGGAGCCTGTCACCTGCATTGCAGGTGTTTATCCTCCGTTTCTGAGAATTTCCACCTTTTTGAACCAGGCTGTTATATTTTAATCACAATGTCTTTTTAAAGATATACATGGCAGTGGATCCAGATCATGTCAGTTCAACACACAAAGACATCCGTCACCTTCGAAGAATGTAAACAGTCACACTCAAAGCCCACAATGGCTTATGAGACCTCTTGCAGAGTGGTCCCAGACTCAAGGTTAATTATAGCATAGTATAGTATAGTAAATAATAGTATTGAAAGGGTCTTTGAGTGAAATTTGCAAATGCTAAGCAAGGGGCTTTAAATGAAATTAGCAGAATGGCAGAAAATGTTTTTGAGAAACAAGATGTGACATGTAGAGGTCATACAAAGTTTGAACTTACATAGGAAGTTGTGTTGTGGTTAAGCCAAAGGTTGTGGTTAAGCGCAGAGTCTGCAGGTATAAGAAGGTACTTTCCATCAAGAGGCTGATGGAGCAGGAAGAATAAAGGTCAAAATACTTTCCATGACGAAAATATTGTTGTTTACTTGAAGGTATATAACAGTGTACAAAAGCCAAGGGGCGCGCAACAGTCTTTGAAAGCACAAACAGAAGTGCTTCTGTCCGTCTCATGTTGATCAGCTCGATTAAATGGTGTCTTACATGAACCAATTGGACTCTGTGGATTTCTTCGAAAAGGGACCCCGCACTCTAAACCCGTGATCCCTTACAGTATAGTATAGTATGGTATAGTATAGTATAGATACAAATATTGCCTGGGTTTGCATTTCCCTTGTGTTTGTATGTATGCATGTTTGTATGGATGGGTGGATTTTGCAAGATAGCCCCAACTTTCAGACAAAACTGTGATTCCCGCTAATAACAGATACAGACCAAACTTGGCACACAGAGCCCACATGACAAACAGAACATAGTGGAGGGGTTTGGGGCAGATGGACCCTAGATTCTGGGAGTTATAGTTCACCAACATCCAGAGACCATTCTGAACCCAACTTATGATTGAACTGCGCCAAACTTGGCACACAACACCTACATGGCCAACTTTGAATACTAGTGGGGCTTGGGAGGGGGGGCTGACATTGAATTCTAGGAGTTGTAGTTCACTTACACTCAGAGAGCACTCTAAACCCAACCGACGAGATGGAACTGAACCAAACTTTTCACACATACCCAACATGCCAACCTTTGAATACTGGTGAGGTTTTGAGGGAACTGACCTTAGAAATTGGGAGTTATAGTTCACCCACAATTGACAGAGTGCTGTGTATCCAACTGACGACTGTTCTTGACCAAACTTGGCACAAACTTTGAATACTGTTGCGGTTTGGGGGGACTGACCCAGTTTGATGGGAGTTGTAGTTCTCCCTGCATCCAAAGAGCCCAGTGACACCCCCCTCCCCCCACAGATGATGTATCTGGACCAAACTTATCACACAGACCCAACATGACCAACTTTGAATATTGGTGGGCTTTGCGGGGGAGGGGTGGGGTGGGAATTGACCTTTATTTCTGGAAGTTGTAGTTCACCTGCATCCAGATAGCACTGAACCCAGCCATGGATGGATCTGGACCAAACTTATCACACGGACCCAACATGGCCAACTCTGAATACTGGATGGGTTTGAGGAGGCCTGACTTTGGATTCTGAGAATTGCAGTTCACCCATGTCCTTATGCATTTTCTAATGGGAACATTAAATAATAAACAAACAAACAAACAAACATTCACAAAAAGAAACAAGCAAAGACTGACATTTTTCTAATATATAGAATCATAGAATCAAAGAGTTGGAAGAGACCTCCTGGGCCATCATCCAGTGCAATCCCATTCTGCCAAGAAGCAGGAATATTGCATTCAAATCACCCCTGACAGATGGCCATCCAGCCCCTGTTTCAAAGCTTCCAAAGAAGGAGCCTCCACCACACTCCGGGACAGAGAGTTCCACTGCTGAACGGCTCTCACAGTCAGGAAGTTCTTCCTCATGTTCAGATGGAATCTCCTCTCTTGTAGTTTGAAGCCATTGTTCCATTGCGTCCTAGTCTCCAGGAAAGCAGAAAGGAAGCTTGCTCCCTCCTCCTCCCTGTGGCTTCCTCTCACATATTTATACATGGCTCTCATATCTCCTCTCAGCCTTCTCTTCTTCAGGCTAAACATGCCCAGCTCCTTAAGCCGCTCCTCATAGGGCTTGTTCTCCAGACCCTTGATCATTTTAGTCGCCCTCCTCTGGACACATTCCAGCTTGTCAATATCTCTCTTGAATTGTGGTGCCCAGAATTGGACACAATATTCCAGGTGTGGTCTAACCAAAGCGGAATAGAGCATGGGGAGCATGACTTCCCTAGATCTAGACACTAGGCTCCTCTTGATGCAGGCCAAAATCCCATTGGCTTTTTTTGCCGCCACGTCACATTCCTGGCTCATGTTTACCTTCCTCTCCACGAGGACTCCAAGATCTTTTTCACACGTCCTGCTCTCGAGCCAGGCGTCACTCATTCTGTATCTTTGCATTTCGTTTTTCCTGCCAAAGTGGAGTATCTTGCATTTGTCACTGTTGAACTTCATTTTGTTAGTTTTGGCCCATCATCTCTCTAATCTGTCAAGATCGTTTTGAATCCTGCTCCTGTCCTCTGGAGTCTTGGCTATCCCTCCCAATTTGGTGTCGTCTGCAAACTTGATGATCCTGCCTTCTAGCCCTTCATCTAAGTCATTAATAAAGATGTTGAACAGGACCGGGCCCAGGACTGAACCCTGAGGCACTCCACTTGTCACTTCTTTCCAAGATGAAGAGGAAGCATTAGTGAGCACTCTCTGTGTTCGTCCACTTAACCAATTACAGATCCACCTCACCGTAGTTTTGCC